GGGTTGTGCACAGTAAATTAGAACCAGAGGCAGAAATATGAGACATAAAAGCATCACTTCAGCAAAGCCTTTATGCAACTACAGCAGAAGAAAGAAAACTAGTCATACAAACTAAAACATGCATTTTTCTGAATAGGGAAAAAAAGTGATACTTACCAAAAGTACAGATGTAACCAGGGTTATTGTCAGACCTCCAGATGTGGGTACACTCTAGGAGACAATTCTCCCAGAGAGGGCCTCAGATACTGAAAGGAAGGACCCTTGATGGCTGGCCTGAGATAAGGTTCAGGGAGGTGTGTACGTCACACTGGTCGTGTACGCTGAGATCCAGAATCAAGAGGAGTCCAGGGACTGTTAGCTGAGCTCAGGGCCTTAAAAGACTGGGAGTGTCCAAAGGGAAATCTGGCTCAGCCTCCTCTCTCCTCCCCTCTCTACCACTCTTACTGCTAGGTCTGAGAAACCTGATTCCCTAGTCACTGCTGCCGCACGCTGGTACGCTCTGCACCCACCCCTCCTCCTCCTCCTTCTCCTCCTCCTCCTCTACTCCCCCTCCCCACCAGCCTTCCTTCCTTTCCTGCCACTCCCTCGTTCCACCATCCACAGACCTCTGACTGCATCTGGTGAGGGTCACTCCCTTCAGTCTGCTTCGCCTCCTTCTGTCTTTGTCCCTCATCCTCTGGGTGATAGTTGATGCTCTGCAGAGTGACTCTTATGTTTCTGTATCAGCACTGATAACGAGTAACACAATTCTGGGAAAAGGTCTGCTGTGTTGGGAAAGAAGCCAAATCATCAAACAATGAGAAATACATATTGTGCAAGAAAAAAATGCTCCTTAAATCTGATGATTTCAGATGATTGCAATAGTCTAAGTAAAGACTGATGAAGGACTATACTGTAGAACTTGGCAGTATGCCACATACTGCAGAGCAGAGCAGTGCAGTTTTTATTACAATGCTCACTTTAATTTATATTTCTCCTCTGTCCAACACGCATGTGAAAATGCATTGACTATAGTTCAAACTGGTTTTAAAATGCAGACAAATCATGGGAGGATATTAGTGGCTGACAATATGGACATCTGAATCACAAATAGCAAAATAACAATGGAAAATATCATTTTCCCCATTTTCAGACCCATCCAGCTAATGTACTCTTCCATTTGAAAGGGTCCCTGAACCTGGCCTTTAATGACTTTAGCAACTGTAGCTCTTTCCTCACAAAGGATAAATGGACAAAAACACACCATGCATACTTAGGATCATCTCTTATGGGGATCAGATTTGCTCACAAATGGAAGGCTTGAGTGAAGGTGTTTCCGCGATGCATGTGCTCCATCTCAGTTGTTGTGAGGATAATGGAATCTTTGGGGGCCACAATCTGTTAATGTACTGGTGAAAGGAAATTAAGGCTCGTCAGTGTAGTCTGTGGGGCTGTTAAGAGTCAGCACTCAGTGAGCACAGGTGAGCCACTTTCCCATCTAACTGACTGAAAGAATAAACCTAACAGCAACTTCAAAACAGACTGCAATATCCTCCCATTTCAAAAAGTCCTCTTGGAAAATCAGCTATTTACACAGTAAATGGTGATTACACCATATGATGGCTATAAATGACACCATCATTTAGATTGGTTCCCTGTAAGCCTCACTTTCACTGTACAATTTTGCCTGCCACCAGATACAATCTCCTGGGAAAATGAAGGAGACATAACTGCAGACACCTTCCATTGGTAGTGTACAGGATATGCCCCTACAAACTGCACCCACTACCAGTACAAGACAAACCCATCAACACAAGAGTTATCTGAACCCAGCTACAATGTGAGGCTGTAGTGAACAAGAATGAGGCCAAATGTAGCAATAATCCACTTTATAATTCATTGTACATGAAGATGTGACTCAGTCATTCCAGTAGCAAACATGGCAGACGGTGGACCAACCAGCTGTGGAAACTCTGCCTTCCAAAAGAAAAAGAGTCCCGTTGCTAGACTCTGAGAAAAACGGAAAGCAAACCAAATGTCTTTGGACAGTGGCGCCAATAATACCACTTGGAAACAGGTGCCCAAACTAAAACTGTCCATTTTCATTTTAACAAAAAATTAAGTCCCTTTAAGTCACTCTGTCTTTTCAATGACTAAGACTGAAAGCAGTTCCTCTTACCACGTCTGAGGGACTATTAATACTAGAATGGGTGGAAAACACAATATTTATGAACTGTCATGAACAACAGCAGTTTTTGAGATTTCACTCTAGACAGAAATTACTGGGAATTGAATACAAAGCCAATAAACACATAAAACTATAAAGATGTTCATCCATTGTTTTACTGAACTATACTATACTGTAATATCAGTGCAGAGGATTAGCCAAAAAAAGAGAAACAACCACTCATATAGAAGATTAAAGTCTTATTTGAAATGCAAGAAGCAAAAAAATAACAGTTCCTACATTGAAGGGGAATGATACAGAACGTTACAGTGAATGCGAAAAGGGCTGGCCAATACTTTGAAGGAGCTGATGTTCAACATCCGATGCTGGCTTATTAGTATCGATATGTTGACAGAAATTGCAGTGCGGGTAACTGCAGCAATACATGTTTCACAAGCTGCATTTTAATGTACATTTGGCCATTTTCCTCATGTCATGTTTATTGTATTTTTCTGTTATAGTTATTTACAGTTTTCAGTGAAGTAACCTGTTAAAAAATGACTTATTATTTGATAGTGACTTTTTTCTAACTGTAAAACATCCCACCATCTCTTTATAAGTCAAGTTTGAGATCTTGCCAAAAACATTTACATCACAAACAAATACCAGCCAATATACTTATTTACTTATTTTTATACTTATTATTATTAATTATTCTCAAATATCAGTTATCAATTTCGGCTTTAGTCAGTCTGGCTCTTAAAAAACAGATTTTCAGTTGTTATAGTGACCTCATGTAGAAGTGACATACTGGCAGAGAAACTGGTGAAAACTATCTATCAAAAAGCAAAAAAAAAAAAACTTCCTTTATTATGTCATTCACTTTGCAGTCTTAGCACCACATTTGGCAAAATACAAAATTTATGCAGAGATGAGAGTCCTTCTGTAACCACACACTTAATCCCCATCACTGTGGAGCCAGTGGAATGCCTCTAGCGTCTGTGACTTGGCCCTCCTGCAGGTTCTTGACGAGCTGTGCCAGCCAGCGCTTTGTGGTGGTGTCGTCCTTCAGCACCTGGGCAAAGGTGCTGTCTTTCAGCTGGTCTGGCAGACACTGACGCAGCGCTTCTCTGGCTCTGAGGAGGGAATACCACATGTCACAAACCACTGCCCTTTTCTGTCGACAACATCTTGCTATAAGAGAGGGAGCTTGTCATGCTGGGGGCTCCATATAGCAGTGAGAGGTGAACCTTCCCAAAAAAAGTCTGTACTTCTCTCCCTACAGTAGTGGTTCTCAACCAGGGGTCTGGGAACTCCCAGTGGTGCTTGTGTGAGTCCCAGGGGTCCAGAGATAAATGGGGAATAGGTTATTTTCACTATTTAATTTACTCTCAAAATGGGCCTAATTTGAGTAAGATACATAAGAATTACACTTCAGATTAGAGGTCTTCTTCCATGGCTGTAGTTTCTGGTTTTAATCATATCTAATAACAAAAATCTTTTTAGATGGAGGTCCCCCAATTGAAATCTTATCAAAAGAGTGTCTGTGACCTAATGTGGATCAATTTAGGGGTCCTTCACATGAAAAAGGTTGAGAACCACTGATCTACAGTATATCAAGATTACACACACGTGAGGAACTAATTCAGAGAAGTTATTCCTTGGATATTGACTACTATTTATAGTGGTTCCCCTGCTTCTCATCAAAGACCAATCTATGCTTCAAGTATAACCTCTCTTCTGCAAAATGCTTTCCTAATATCAATTATTGATAGTACTCAAAGGGATACGAGCTATAATGGGCTATATCTTGCCAATCAGACTGATAAACAAGATTTGTGAACTTCAATAAAACATACAGGGCTTTCCCGCAGAAAGCTGGTTGGCAGGCTGCTGGCTGCGTCATACATGGTGGACCTTTTGACATTAAAACATAAATCCAACTGTTCAAACTAACTTACACTTGATGCTGACTCTACTGGGTAAAATTCATATATAGCTGCTGATTACCAAACTACATCCAGCCTGACTGCATGCACTCTTCTGCTTTTGTGGGAAGCTCTTCTCTTTTCCCTCATCTGAATGTTACTGACTGAATGTTTATCTCAACTTTTTCCAGCTTGTTACAACTCAGATTTCCTTTTTTAAGACCATAAAATGTGCCATTCTGATTATCCAAGAGCGAAATTATGATGTCAATGTTGCCTGCTGATCTGAACCACACAGATCCTGACACAACTCATCTTGTGATCTTCGTTCAAGTGCAGTGAGGCCATTAGAGGCCACATGAGGTGGAGGAGGAACATAATTTAATTCACAGATTATCTGTCCCATGTACTGCCGTTCTGTTAAAGTGACAGTTTCAGCAAATATGACAAAACGTAATTTTTATAAAGTTAACAACTACAGCTTTATACATGTGGACTTTGCTGTATAGCATGGGGTTGCTGCTGTTTTACCCTGAAGATTAATGTAAGCTTTTACTATAATGTCATAATTTCTCTAGCAGGGATGGTCTCCATTTAGGCAAGGTGGTGTACCTCCACCAGGGGAAAATCTCTTATGCAATCTCTACTCATGTAAAAGAAGTAAGAACAATTGCAATAGCCTATCACAGAGCCCGAAGCAATAGTTTAAAATTGCTTTCTTAGTCCTACCAGCTGCCAAACAGGGCAAAGGTATGATTGATGTGAGAAGAGGAAAAGAGATCTGTTAAACTGTAACTACATAATATCAAGAAATCCATTGGAATTGACTATCAAGGTAGCAGCTAATCAATTTTCTTATCATTACCCCATAAACAATTAATGTGCAAAGTAACACTAAGCTGTGACCACTGGCTGACAAGCCCTTTAACAATGGCTCCTCCTAGTGGCGAGTACTGGTGATCAGTCATATTTTCTACCTTGTTGAAAGTTTCCAGAGCCATGAGGGACCAGAACCAATCTTACATAAATCCCCACTCAATGGAGAGCCAAAGTTAAAACAGGTGACCACATACAGTGTACTGTATGGTGTACAACAATACTCTACCTGAGATTGTCAGAGAGGCGAAGGTAGCAGCGGACAACATGCTTCAACAGGCGAGCCGATGGTTCTTTTGAGAGCTGGAGCACCATTTTGCCCTGCCAAGACAAACATGAAAATTATATTGTGACAGCTGATCTTTTCTCTTCAGTTTCTTAATCGATGCCAAGTGTCACACTGTGCAGAGAGACTAAGAAGGTAAATTCAATCAAATTCAGAGGTTCCTCTGGGAACACTTACAAGGATCATGGCCACGTGGGAGAAACGTTCATACGTCTGACATATATAGGCCAGTCCTGTGTCATCCAACAAGATCTTCTGCAGTATGAAAGTAGCAACCTGCCAAAAAAGTGAAGAGAAGAATGATGAGGTGTTGGCTGATGCTGCAACCCCATTACACACCAAAACTGTAAGTGATATTTCTATAACGTAAGAGTAAATAAAATAAATAGACAATTTAACTTGCACCACAATAGTTGTAAAAGCTTATAACTCTCAATGAAAAGCAGCAGGTCTGGATAAATAAGAGGTATTAGATCTGGGCTTTTTTAAAGGGTAGTTTAAAAGTGTTGCTGATAGATGAAGAGAGAAAGAAGGAGACAAAATGTAATTGGACACAGGGTTTTACTATAAATGTATACCAACAGTCAAATTAGCAGGGTTCTTATGGCTTAAGGCAAGTTAGATTTAAAACTTTTTAAGACCTTTCTAATGCCACTCATAATGATATTTAAGACCAATTTACAATCACCAAAATTGAGGAGAAAAAAACAAGCACCAACATCAATTACTTAGAGAAAGGGACAACTGCCCAGATGTTTACTGCAACATAATATTCTTGAGACTTTCTGTTTCTTACTCTGCATGTGGGATTTCACTAATACCATTGAGCCGAGTTTGAAAAACGTTTTGCATAAAGTACACCGAGCCTTGTATACATTGCCTTGTACTGGTTTCAGCCATGGTGCGAAATCTTGGTTAAATAGCCAATTATTGCTAAATTTGCACTTCCCCATGTCGTCTAGGGTACAGCTAGCTGATAGTAGAACATCTGCTATGAGCATTTCAGCCAGAAACAAAATATAAGTGTTGATGAATCCACTATACTGATCTGTATGACGTTAATGTGATAGGCATGTGGTAAATTATTTGGAGAAAAAAAAAAAAAAAATTAGATGTAACCACTTACTTTGAGTTTTTACATTACCATGTCAGGAAAAACAATTAATAAAATCCTACTTCCCATGTCTTACCATTTGCAACTTAGCAGTTCTGTCAAATACACCACCCACAACTTCACAACACCACAAACTGTATGGGTTGTAGCTGCCTTGGTAGCTGGCCAGTTGCATGTTACATTAAACTGAAGAATACTTGCTGTGATTGGCAGCGAACTATACAAACATTTTTCTAGATCTGGGTATAAAAGGATCAAATGCAGGTATCATTTGACTGGAGACGTTTTCATACTACTTGGCACTGAGTTATTTCGGTCAATGGCATATGGGTATTGAATACTGATAGCTAGCCCCACTTTTAAGACTTGTTAAGGAGAAGCAGGAACCCTGGTTTGGGTATAAGTCAGTTAGAGGACTGTATGAAAAGCAGCTGGAACAGTTAGGTACCGTCTTGGAGAGCTCACTCCCCGATTCCATGATGCGGAGACAAAGCGGGATGATTTCCGTGGTGAGGAGGAAGTTAATCACTTCTTGTTCATCTGTTTTGACCAAGGCACCTGCAGTTAACACAGAAAGGCAGTTTGATGAGAACGATGAAGACACAATCTTGTGGAAACAAACCTCAATACAGAAATAAAACACGTAAGCAGGAGTAAAGCTTACCTATGACTCCGAGGCTGGTAAGTCGCAGGTACTCAAATGGACGTGTTTTACTCACAGTGTGCAGAAAAGGGTAAAGGAAAAGAGGGATGTGGGCAGCAAGAAAAGCAGATCTGGTAAAAACAAAGAAGTAAAAACAATTTAATTAATGTGACCAGACTTATATACAGTAAATATCAGACGTAAGCTACGAGGTTGCTTTAATATCTTTATGGATTTTACTGACAATGGTGACAAAAATAGACACCTACAGAAACATTACATGCAAATAACTGGGATTAAAGTCCCAGTTCTCAGATGATCACATGTTTCTGCTTTGATAACAAAGACACATTTTTAAAAAGGAGTCAGGTGTTGTGTCTGATAAAGTCAATTCTGAGGCATTAAAGAATCACACTGTCACTGTGTTCTGGATGATAGCTGAACTATTTCATAAGATTTCAAATAATTCAGAGCAAACTGTGTCAGATGTAGTGGAAAAAAAAATTCCTCTGGCAATAGACAAAGTGGCATTACACCGTTGAAGCTTCTAAAGACAGCCTATCATCACCACACTACAAGAAACAAATCAGTGGAAAAAAAAAACATTGGAATTTTTCATTTTATGAACTCCCCATTACCGTGTCTCTGGGTGCGAGGCAACACACTGCAGAAGTGCCAGAGCATTGCACACTCTGTTAGACTGGTGAGCTGTAAGTGTAGGTGGGTTTATAGATGGATAGATGTTCACTATTTCCTAAAAGAATGAAATAAGGTGGGGAAAGAAATCTGTTAAACTTATAATCATACAACAAACATACACATATAGTATACAAAGACATACTATTTCAATTCATTTATTACATGAAATCAGAAACATGACCTGTAATTGTCAGTTCTGTATTCAAAACACTGTAACATAATAATAATGATAATGATAATAATCATTTAGGATGCTTGAGGCCTGAGGGTAGAAGATCCTATTGAGCCTATCACTGCTGGCCTGGTGTAACCGATACCCTCTTTCCGACCTCAGCAGGGTGAAAAGACAGTTATCCTGGGGGCTGAGATCTTTTATGATTCTCCTGGCCTTATTTTTGTAGCGTCTAGTATAAACATTCTGTATGCAGGGAAGAGCAGCTGAACAAAGTACTCTTTGCAGGGCCTTGCAGTCCTGTTCGGTGCTGTTTCCATAGCAGGCAGTGATGTTCCTTGTCAGGGTGCTTTCAGTGGTGCAGGAGTCAAAATTCTGCAGTATTTGAGGAGATACCTGGAATTTCCTCAGGTGAAACAAGATCCTGCCTTGCTTCTCTCACCACTGAGACAGTATGCAACGCCCAGGTCAGACTCTAAGTGATGTTGACACCAAGGTATTTGAAGCTTTCCACCCTCTCCACCGAGGACCTGTTTATATTAAGGGGGGTATAATTCCTTGGCTGCTTCTTCAAAGTCCACTATCATCTTCTTTTGTTTTGCTGACATTTAGGAGAAGGTTGTTGTCCTAACATCAGTGGGTCAGGTCCACTCCTTCTTTCAGGTAGGCTTTTTCATTGTTATCTGTGATCAGGCCCACCACAGCTGTGTCATCAGTCAGTCATGTGTGTATAGGGAGTAAAGACGGGGACTCAAAACACAACCCTGGGGTGCTACTATATGCCACAGCTAGGGATGGGACATTGGTCTTACCTGTAACAGGGCAGCAATAGTGCCACAGGAGTGCCAAAGCATTGGTGCCAGGTCTGGCACAGACTCGCGTTTCTTGCTCAGCTCCAGCAAGGCATTTTCTCTGGTCTCTGGGCTGGACAGCTCATTGATCCACTGATAGATCTTCTCTCTGTCTACCTGGGCCAGGGCTGTGACGTTCGTTACAGCCTGTAAAAAGATGGGGAAATACTCAACAAATGCATCAATCATCGCCATCTAATTTAACACTGTACTGTATATCAATACGATATTACAAAAGATATTATTGCAAATTTGCTTATAACAACTTAATATATTTAAGTCTGTTACAGAAATACACATAAATGATATCCAGGTATTCAAAAATATCATGTCTGATTTTGTGGGGGCAAGCTTGCGTTCACCTAGATATGTTAGTCACACCATTTTCTACTTTAATGCCCAACCAGTGCAAACTGTGCATCCAAGCATTATTCAAATCCACAAACTTTTCTTTTGAGCTCAGGTGGAGTTCCCTAAGTTTCAAAAAGTACCAAATATCAGGGTGAATTTCGGGAAATATGAATAAGTTCAGGCACAATGCATCTCGTAGTCATGAAAACATGGAGACTTGGGATTAAATATTTCATTCAGTGTAAACATTATAAAGCTTCAAATAAGAGTTGGGACACGATACACAATTTTTGTATAACACTGACGTTAATAAAATGGTTTTAAAAACCAACGCAAAACAAAGAAGGCTGATACTTTACAATAACGTTACCCTATTAGAAGATACTTACTGCTCCCGTCGCCAGCATTCTCTGAAGCTCTTTACGGTCCCAATGAGTTGATAAAACTGCTGTATCAGCTTAAATGTTGTGTAGTTGCAAACTAATGTGGCTACAATCAAACAAACTTGGCGTAACACGCAGGACGGGCAGCTAACCTAAGCTAGCTGCTAGCGTTAAATGTCTTGATGAATGGAATCCAGTACACACAAACATCGACATTACAAGCAACATAACTTCATTGAGATAACAAGCTAACAAAAGGTCATTATTTATCTGTACCGAAAACAGCCTCGAGAGCTCAAAACTAAATGCAATTTAGAGAATATAACCCAGAGGCTAGGTTTTGTTAGCAATGGAGGCAACCTTAATACAAATAATTAAGATATCGCGAGAAGAGGACTGCTCGGACGCACTCTCGGTTATCATTTCCGTTGTAAATTTTCACATTCCCGCCATCATCGCGCAGTGTTGCGAGGCGTCGTGTGCGGGTCCACTGTCAACAACATACGTACCAGGGAGCCGTTGAATGCCGGCAAAACAAACTTTCTTCCCCCGGAGGACCTACGAAAACGACACTGTGATTCAAAAGTTTCGAGAGGAGCACAAACAATCGACAGGTAAATAACTGCGACGGTTTGTTCAAACGGTGACACTGTTTTCATCACCAAATTACAATCAGGCAAATTAGCCAGTTAGCTAGTCCCCGCTAGCCTGCTAGCCGAGTTGCTAATGTCGGCCTCCCCCATCCATTCAAGATGAGGGGACGACATCATCTACATCCTAGACATTCGGCTTGGCTGTAGTGTCACCCTAGCTCATTCTCTGTAACTTCGCAGGATCTGGTCATTTTTGTCACTTGTGTTAAGAACGTTAACCAAGCTAGAAGTAATGAGCGCTGCTCGCAGTATGTCGTGCATCTTCGCCCGTCTTAACTGCCGCGATACAGATTGGCCATTGGGCTAGTTTGATGGCTAATGCAAACAGGCTACATTGACTCACATTGGAACCGTTAGCGAGCTAACATAAGTGGCGTGAGTTTCCTGACTTTGATAAACACTCACTCCTGTCTGTCAAAATTATGCTGCGAGTGTGTCATCCATGTTAAAGCAAGCCTTTTAACAGCGCGTTTATGCTGTTTAGCTGTTGTGCTTGTGGTTAACTTGGAGTTTGTTGTGACTTTCAACAAGCGCTCAGTAGCCACAGCGGGCTAGCTTAATGCGTTATTACTGTGTTTTAGCAGAAAACGTAAATATCGCAAATGACATGTAATTTGTTATTTTAATAAACCGTGCAATATAGTGCTAACGATGTCTTTCAAATTGTTATGGTTCGTCACTGAGCTCGTTAGCTTACTTTACTGCCATCTCCCTTTGAAGTAATGGCAGTAATGACGGTAATTCTGTGGCATTGATATGGTCAAAGCATGCCATTTATTAACCACACTATGTAGACTAGACATAGATACTGGGTTTTAACTGTAGTTATATTGTCACACTTTATTTAATGTTTCTCTTGTTTAGGATTTGTTTGACCACAAGTCCCAGCCTCCTAAGTGCACCAACTGGATAGTAAGCCATGTCAACCATAGTGCCCAAACTCTCCAGCGGTGGCGCTGTTAAGATCCGCTTTACCAGCCTTGACCTGGGCACCACTAGATGGAGAGAGGGAACTTTTGAGATTCTGGAGAAAGACAACAAAGTCAACCTCTGTCTAAGATTCAACTGCGGCGGAGCTTCCAAAACTTTCCAGGTATAGTTCAGTTCGTTTGTGTTGTAGTTATTGCATAATGGGTGCAGGTACTAAAACATAGCTTTGGATATTGAAGCAGTACTTTTGTTTAACTTTTCATTGTAATATGTTGAGGAACACTACCTATATTTTTGAAAACATATGTCTCACCTGTAGAAATAACATCAGAGCAATCTTTGACGCCTCTCCCGTCATCATTTAGACTACATATTAGAAGTCTAATATGACCTTATTCTTTGCCTGTTCCTAAACTCTGCCATTATTTACTTTGTCAAGTGCAAGGGTTTCCACTGCATTTGCAGCAGCAATACTATGGGGAAAAAAGTTAGGAATGCACCACAAAACCACAAAAATGAGATGCTCCACATATGACCATTTTCACCAACATACACATTTGTAGCCTTGGCAGTCATGAAAGATGAATTAGGCATTTCACAAAATGAAGAAATAATTAAGTGAATGACTGAAATTTTGTTAATAAAGTTGGCTCGAGGTCTCTCTTTATTGTCTTGACAGTCATAAAGAAATACATATTTAGCTAAAAACAGAGGACAACACGGAATGATTTATTGACTATAAGTAGACAATAATCAAAATCCTGCAAGAGACATTTCATGAGATTGTATGGGAACACAGAAAAAAAAAATATGGCCCAAATTGTTTGTCCCACTAAATTATGCTGCAATTTGCACAGAAAAGCCAATAAACAGTTGGAAAGTGCTGCATTTGAAAGTTAGGGAAATTTGTAATGTGGTAATGGCAGTCTTTTAGGTTCATAATATGTTATATGTGTCAGATTGTACATTATCAGCTATGGGGCATGTCATTGTGAGATGAGTGAGCTCTGCATTGAAAGAAGATAAAGTGAATAATAAAATAATGTATGGCATACACATGGTGTTTTCCTGCTACCTTTTGTGTATTATTTTCACACAAAATCAACCGTGTTTAAAATATTATTAATGAGAATGACTGGCAGTGACTAGATCTGAAGGCAAACAATAATCATTGAAGCTACAGTTGGTGACTTTTATGAAGATAACTTTTTGTCAGATTTGCGGAAACTGTCCTTGCTTTCATACAATATTATATGCGACAGATATTCTGATAAAAAACAACAACAAAAAACATGTTCTTTCTCCTCATTCTCTTATTGGCTTCAATGTCATTTGACAGAATCAGAATCTACCACACTGACTGGAAACAACTCTGCCAGGATCATGCCCAGATTTGATCAAGGATCCTTTTCATATGATGCTCTCCTTACAAGTTTCCCTCTGTTCATTTTTAAAGTCACAAATGGATTAGAGAAATAACAAATATTCAGTTAAGTAGACAAATGGTGAAGTAATTAGTGCATAGTTAAATTCCAAGTAAATTACTTTATGTATAACTGTACGTTCACACCAACAGCTGCCAGAGCTGCAAAATAGCTGAATTCACTCTAGCAGCGCCACTGGTAAAATATTTGTGGCAGCAAAAGCAGCTCAAGTCGCTCATGACGTCAGATTCTGAACGTTCAGTTAGCTTCTCAATTTAAAGGAGCCGCAAAGCAGGTTACTGGCTGGAACACAGAAAAGTGACTTTGTGCATTTGCCTCAGTACAGAAACTTTCATGTTTGGACAATGAAAACAGAACAAAAAGTCTAAATAGGTCTGACATTGAACATTAAATGCACATAGCTTGTGTTGCGTTCAGGCGTTGTCATGTAAATAACAAATTCCAGCTTTTGAGTTGTTATTCCCCCCCTAAGCTGTAAACCTAGGGGAAACACTGTCAGTGGTTTGGGTTCGAGTGCCTACAGTGCTGTTAGTTAAACTGGTGGTAAGGAGAGCAGATGAATTGCATTTCCACTAATAAGCGTTCCACAACACAAAGAAATTGTACAAGTACGTGCGCTTGTCCACACTTGTGTATCGATTCAACATGGAAGAAGACACTCTTATAATTTGTGCTGCCATGTGGTACCTGCGTGGATGTAGCCGTCATCGGGTCTGGGCCCATGATATCCTCCAGGCCGTGAACAGCACGGGGAATATCATCGGCTGGTGCGGGAGCTGCGGCTGGATGGGGAGAGGTTCCCAGCGCTACTTCAGGCTTAACATAGATCAGTTTGACAGCTTGCTGCTTGTTTTGAAGTAGGAACGAATGTGGCAGGAACTAAAAGTTTCTGAGGATGTTCCACACAAACGATAGACATCTACATTCTGATTGGTTGCTGGTCATTTGCTGCTCAAATGCGTCATAGGTAATTTACATAAAGTTAATCAGCCTTCAACTTTCATTTGCAGCTCAATTCACCAAACTGCCGCTGCTCATCGCTTTTGCAGCCCAAAACGCTTCTAGTTGCCACATGTCCATTGAAAATGAATTAGACCTGTCGCCTTTGCAGCTCTGGCAGCTTTTGGTGTGAACGCACAGTAATACCAACCAGCTGCAGGTGTAATTATTTATAGAAAAACATACAAAAGAAATACATAAAACGAAAACTGAGAAATTAATCAGACTATCTGGTATTGTTTTTTTTTTTTGTTTGTTTGTTTGTTTGCCCTCAGCTGAACCAGAACGTGAAGAACATTAACCAGAATTTGAACCGAATCATTTTGAATCTGAAGGACAGCAGTGTCATCACCCTGGACAAGGTGCCGGTGGCTTTGGCTCAGAAGACTAAAGAATATCTGGAAAAGCTAAAGCAGGGAAAGTCAGGTATTTACTCCTCACTTCATAAGAACTTGCAAAGCTTTGTTAATGATTCACAGCATGATGGAAACGAAAGTACTGTGATTCCTATTTCTGATGTTTGACAGTCGCAGTTTCTGATTTTGCCCAGTACAAAGACATTTTTAACTACAGCTTTACTTTAGTTGTGTTTCTCAAGGTTATGTTGAATTGGTACTGAGACAAAATGCAGTGTTTTCAAATAATGGTTCCTAATTGATATTTCTTATCTTTCTTATCTTCTTTCTTTTAATAACAAAAAAAATACTAACAATAGCTGAAAAGATAAGGCACAGAACACTAGGCTATAAATAGGGATGACTAAATGTTTAGTTGGACTTTAACATAGCCTTGAATAAAGAATAGCCAGATTCGAAGGATACGCATGAAAGTTTTTCAAGTTTCAGCTGTCACGTTTCATTCAGATTTTTTTCCACACTGTCCTGTGTTTGCTAATGCAAGTTTCTCCTATTCCTTCTAGTCCTGATACTGTGTAGTTGCCTTCCATTCAATACATAATTTCTTTAAGTTCATGTGTAGGTCTAAAGATAACAGGCAACAGTGTATTGAGCCTCTCATCTTATTTGGCACAAATTTCTAACAGCAGGCTCCTGATTTTCTTGATTTAAATTGAGGGAATAATCATACATCCTGACCTCATGCTCTCACGTCTACAGCCTGTAAATTGGCGCTGACTTCAATTTCCCTGACTCCTGAGGGGTTTTCCAGATAGGAGGTTCAACAAACTCTGAGTCTAATCCTGAACTCTGAGTTGACTTACCCTGAGATGGGAAACTCTGAGTATCCGGTTCCAGAACAGCTGATTTGAATTAGTTCAATCAACTCTGAGTAGGTACACCTTGAGTTAAGCACGTGCACAACCACAATAAAAAGCCATCATCAATGGAGCCCCGATACCTCGATTCACCATGGCAACCGGAGAGAAAAAACGATCAACTTATTTTACACCTGTGGAACTGGAGGCGCTCATGAATGCCTACAGCGAATATGAGCATATATTTCGTAAAAAAAAAAAAGTAACCGCTAAAGCTGCCAAGGAGAGAGAGGCAGCATATGAAATTTAGCAAGCAGAATTCTCATTGATGGGATGTTGGTGGCTTAGTGGATAGAGCAGGCGTCCCATATGTTGCTTTTGCTGCAGCGGCCAGGGTTCGGCTCCGGCATGTGGCACCTTAAGATAAGATAAGATAAGCTTTATTGTCTGTCCCAAAGGTGACAGAAATTCTCCTTTGACAAGGCTCAAATTCACATTTAAAACACACATCACGTTTAAAACACACAAGGGGACTGAAAAAATGGTATATGACCGTGCATGTTCTAGTTTGCTGCATGTCACTCCCTTTGTCTCTCTCCCCCTTTCACACGTAACTGTCCTGTCAATTTAAGGCAAAATGCCCCCCCAAAAATATTAAAAAAGAATCCATGCTAATTTCAGCAGCTGTTTTAAGCACATATAGATTGTTGATGACTTATTTGAAATTTCATTCCTTTAAAAACTATCATACCCAAGCACAACATTAGCTCTGATGAGAGCGCACGTCCATGGTGTGTCAGATTTGATATGTTTGGCCAGTAAATGATTGAGCCTAATGAAAAAATGGTACAGTTCAAACAGATATTCATTGGGGAAAGACAGCACATCATAACGGGGTCAGAAGATCCTCTCCCGGTGTAAAGCATTGCGAATTAATTCTGCCTCGACATCGATCCGATTTCCTACATACAGACAACCCACGTCTGTCTGCCAGGTTGCTTCAGGCTCGGCAGTAGGGAGGAGACAGGGTAAACTCAGGGTTTGTTAAAGAAAACCTGCCAGCGAGCAGGTTGGGTTCACAGAGTGAGTTGCCATAGCGATTGACTCAGAGTTTGACTTACCTCTCTTTCTGGAACTGAAAACCCAGAGTTTCCCTCATTTCAGGGTTAACATACTCAGAGTTTTCACTAAACCCGCTTTCTGGAATACCCCCCTGAAAACGACTAAAGCCAGGATCCCCCATTTCCATTGTGACTGGGTCAATCAATTATACTCCCATCCCTCGGCAACCACTTTGCGTTTTGGGACAACAGCCTTCTACTGATAGGTGCAAATTCACGGCAGTTGTAATAGAAAATTTGTTTTTAAAGCAAAGACCGGCACCACAATATCTTAGACAGCATTTGTTACACATTGTTGGTTGACAGTTCAGTCACAGCATATTTGAATAATAGCACCCTTCATTACAGATTTCCTATGGAACTTTGTACTCACAAACACAATGCAGGGAACAATCTTTCACAGGGAAGTCAGCACACAGTAAGTCAGGGCTTATGTCACCTGAGTAGCTACAGGTTGTTCTGTCTTAAAACAGTGGTGTTTTGTGAGAGGGAGACTCATAACCCCCAATCTTATTCACATTTTATGTACTGAGTTCTTATTGTCTCCCAATTTTACAGTTTTAAAGTCCAATGGAAGTGCAAACCTCAGTGTGCTTGGGAACCGCTCTGTGAAAAATGAGACCAATCCATCAGGGGAGAGACAGGTGAGCAAGAACACAAAACCACATTTTTAACTTTTTATTTAGGTAAGCATAGCCTTACATTTGACTTAAATATCCAGATTCCTAACATCTTCCAGACAACACCGAGGCGGCAGAGTGCCGAAGGCAGAGAGGACACAACGCCGCGAAAGCCTCTGGGCAGCCCGAGTAGAGCTGCCTCCACTCCCACTCGCACAGGGCTCTCAGAGAATAGGTATGATGGATGTTTGTGTTGCTCTTGCAATGCAAATTATGTCCTGTAAACAATTTTGGTCATATTAAACATAACTTGAGGTGATGATGGTTGGTATTAATACAATAGAATTCAGCCTCTGAACAAAACTGAAAATAGCTATGGTCAGTATTGCATTTTGTGTATTGGTTATGTTTGTTTTTTGACAAAATAAAAGAAAGAGTTAATGTTTGTGATCTTCTACGGAAAACACCCCTTTGCCTGTATTCCTTGAGACAATTTTCTTGTATGTGACTGCTGTCCTAAAGCAGAACTTTGAACCCTATAATTCTTTTAGTTCTGGTTTTGTCTTTTGTTGTTCTTTTCACTTTAGGAATGGTCTGTTCAGGCTTGTGACATGAATTGTTCTGTGTCACTGTTTTTCAGGAGCGACAAGAGAAAGAGACTCCTTACCTCAGACAGTGACATAACTGAGGACTACCCCAAGGAAAATGACTCATCAAGGTAAAAGCAACACGCCTCATTGCCCACACTGAACTGTAGTGGTTGTTGGATACACATGGAATGACCTTAATTCTGTGGCCTTTTGTCAGACTCAGTATCTAGATGTATCTAGGTATTTTATTCTAGACTGTTAATATATTTAGTAGTGTAAGTTGTTTCTTATATGTATATCATGGCCATCAGTGGCAAAATGGAAATTATACAAATGCATACCAATGTTCTTTTGTATTAAAAAATTCTTCTATAGTTTTCACAGTCAGGTAACATCCAAAAACCTCTCTCTATATATATATTTATTTTCTTAGCAACAACAAGGCCACTTCAGATCCATCCAGGAAGATTCTACTGAGCTGCAAAGATAAGCTGAAGCAGGCAGAGGAGAACAGGAGCTCAGGTAAACGTCTGCATCCACAACTCAGCAGCAACACTCTACATACTGCTGCTCATGTCTTCAATTACTTGGTAAAATTCATCTTGTGTGTTAAAAATACGTATTTACCTTAACTTTTGTAGATTTTGTAACTGCCCTATGCAAATTTTGAGTCAATATATGGGATTTTACAGAATATTTACCTGTTTAGGGATAGAGCGATAGGGATTTTTTAGGGCTGATGCCAATGCCGATTTTTTTCCATCACCCTTAGCCGATGACCGATTATGGACTGCCGATTTTCTTGAGCCGATATTTGGGGCCGATACTGCTTTTGCTCCCTCAATTTACATAAAAAAAATGACACAATGATAACAAATATTACAGGTCTCACGTTTAAAATAAGAAACATTTATTGAACAGTAAAAAATACTAAAACAAGATGGAAAGTTGAGGTAGAACAGGTAGAATATTATTATTATTATTATTATTATTATTATTATACATTCAAATAAAAAAAGAGTTCAGTGCTCTTAAATCTTTCAGTAATGTCTTTATAAAATAAACAAATATTTAAGCTGAAGCATAAATAAAACAACAACTACTGTACACAGTAGGATTCAACAGCTTTGTTCAACTTAACCACATACTTTCAAATGAAAAAAAGGTGCCAGGGAAAAATAAATCCGCGAACCCACGCGCGTATCGGCCGATGCCGATACAAGTAAAAAACTCAAATATCGGCCCGATATATCGGCCGGCCGATGTATCGGTCTATCCTTATTATACAGACTTGGTTTCACCACAGTTTCTTTCCTTACAATCAGCTCCACTGGGTTCAAGTCCCCTCCAGCCAACGTCGTTCTATGGCAGCCGATCCGTGACTAAAGACTATAGCCAGAGCCACTCTTTCCTGGACAGGTGAGTTTCTGTATGACCAACAAAAAATGCACAAGCTAGCAGCGTTAAACAGATACTTTGCCGACTTTCATACAGGTTTGTGTCATTGCAGTATGCGGTGTGTATAGATTAGCATTGTTAAGGCCCCTCGTGCTGCCAGATTCTGTAGCTTCCCGCCCATCCACCAGCCAAAATCTGCAGGATGATGCAAAGCGACATAAAAAATTGTTAACAACAATACAAAACGCGCCATCTGGCAGATTTTTGCTCTTGGCATGGACCGGGAACTCCTGGCACTATCAAAAGAGGGAGCACTGTAACACTGCTCATCTGTACACACTACCCACACCACAATGAAACAAACCTGGTTGAAAATTGGCAAAGTATCGCTTTAAATGCAAGCCGTCAGCACTAATCTTGCTTCTCCCTACAAAAATACTCGAGCAGGGTGGGGGAATATAATCCCTGTGTCTCATTATTCCTGCTGATTGAACAATAGTGTCAGATTATTGCAAGTTTCTATACAATTTTGGCTGAAGATCATTGAAGCAATTTGGGGTTTCAAAATTGAATTGAGAAAATTGGTTCTTATTGTCGAATTAAAGCATCACGTTGTTGTGAGACCAGTGATTCACATCTGCATAATCTTTACTAAACACCCCCAGGCCATCCAGTACAGCACAGACCACTGCTGCTAAGAGAAGCCTCCTGCTGCCCAATCACTCCACTCCCTTCAAGAAGGTCCGCCCTTCTCTGGACTACGGCGGCTGGAACAAGCAGAGGCCTTCCAGTCTAGCCCAGCCTCAGCCCCCACTGCAAGGGTAAGAGTAAGCCAGATGGGCTGCAATGAATATGAGCATAAGTAGCGGGTGTATGTGAAGAGAGCATGAATTGCATTTATTTAAGATATTGTTAATCCAAATGACACAAGGAAATCAAAAAGAGCTGTTTATGCCCCTCTTCTTAGCTATTGCAAGTGAAAAAGTCACTAAAGGGTCAGTTTTGCTTTTATGACTGAAAACATAAACATTGTAATGTCATGAAAACCGTGTCTCTCATCTATTGTGTAAATCCTTTTTTTATATGTCACAGATTCTCCAACCTGGGCAACACTTGCTACATGAATGCCATCTTGCAGTCCCTCTTCAGCCTACCTTCCTTCTCTAATGACATGCTCAGGCAGAGCATCCCATGGAAAAAAGTGCCGATCAATGCATTGCTCAGGTACTACGTTAGGCTATGTAGACAGATTGAAGGGAGACGGTGTGATTCATGATATCCTTCAGATTCTGAAAGGGACTTTAATAAGCTGCATATAAAATAATTTATTCATGTACTTTGCTGGTTGATCCCCTTTTCAAATCCTGTTTAAAAGTACTTCATTCTGTGTAATATCTTCACCACCTGCAGGCGTTTTGCTCACCTCATGGTCAAGAAGGATGTGGGCTGTCCAGAGACGAAAAAGGACCTGCTGAGGAAAGTGAAGAGTGCCATCTCCTCCACAGCTGAGCGTTTCTCTGGAAACATGCAGAATGTAAAAGCTCCATCTGTTATCAACAGTTCAGAGCAGTTGTTGTCTATTGATAGTTGAAGATGTTCCTGAATAGATCAAATGTCATTTAGTTGTTACAGATGGATGTCATGCCACTCACCTTACCACCAAATACCACCTAAATACCAAATGCAGTAGATTGTTTGTGAAGCTCTTACCTGCTTTGGTGTAAACATGTAACAAGTAAAGGAAAATGTCAATCAGAAAACAAATCTCTAAAATGTATGTAAAGTATATATGAATATATAACACAAAATAATGAACTGCAAGTTTCCATCCCCCTCAAAGCATATTTAGTAGTGGCACATTTTTAGCCTGTAGTCTCTGTAGATAGGTCTGTCTTAGTTTCATATATCGCAATACTGATGCTGTAGTAAGACACGTCATCGTTTTTTTCCTTTGGATTGTTTACCAGGATGCTCATGAGTTCCTGAGCCAGTGTTTGGACCAGTTAAAGGACGATGTGGAGAAAATGAACAAAAGCTGGACAAATGAAGCTGCCACATCATCATCCTCCTCTGCAGTGTGTGAGAATGGCCAGGAAGCAACATCGTCAGCATCCAAAGCAGAGCCTGGTGAAGAGGCGGACATATCCCGCATCTACACCTGTCCCGTTGCGGTCAACATGGAATTTGAGGTGCAGCACACCATCACCTGCAAAGGGTGAGGCCTGTGTCCTGCTTCATGATCTGAATTTATCCTTGCAATGTAACTTTTGTTGTATTTGCCAAACTGTTAGTGACTGGAGAAAAGAATTGGTATTTTATGCCTTCATGTTCTTTTGCAGCTGCGGCGAGGTAGTGAGCAAGCGAGAGCAGTTCAATGACCTGTCCATCGACCTTCCCCGGCGAAAGAAAACCCTCCCACTTCGCTCTATCCAGGATTCTCTGGATCTCTTTTTTAGGGTGAGTTTAAACATGTCACAATTGCTCCTGGTCTCCCCTATCTGACCCTGCGTTTCCAGTCGCAGAGACAAATTAATTTTAATCCTGGAGAAATGCAGATGAGAAAGATCTAGTTAACATAAAGATGCCATGTCAGTTGTGTGGAAAAAATACAAGACAAAACAAAGCTAAATGTAAACACAGTTAGAACAGCCGAGTGTATCACAGCCTGTGCAGAAGATTGAGATTGATGCGGTGTGTTGTCCTGCACTCAGGAAGGGCAGGTGAGCTGGACATCAGTTTGGCGGCAAATTATAATTGTAACAGTGAGTGTTCAGTTTGAACTAAAGTTTGTCAGCACCAACAGAACAGTGAAGCTTTTTTAGCGGTATCTAGAGAAATTATCTTGTGTTTAGCGTCATCTGGTTGGCTCTTCAAACTATTTAGAATGAATTAAGGCTAATGACAGTTGGTGGCCAATTGATTGAAACACCTTCATCTGGGGATCATCAAATTACAATCCTTGCTCCTCCCTGACTGGCTGCCCAAAGTACTGATAGCAGGTTAATTGCATATGGAGAGATTTTCACATAGCAGCTAATCATTTAGTAGAGTTACATCGCCACTTCAGTATGCATATAAGGGAAACCCTGATGTGTAATAACAGAAGTTACGTGTTCCTTTTGCAGATGGAGGAGATTGAGTACTCATGTGAAAAGTGCAATGGGAAATCAGCGACTGTTACACATAAATTCAGCAAACTGCCCAGGTATTTACACATGGACTATTGAGAGTGAAATGCACGTTGAGAAGTTTTCACATTCATTGTCACAGTTAAGCAGAAGAACACTGCATTTAAAAAGTATGTTTAGTAGGTGCTTAACTACGATTCTAATTACAACTGGTACTTCCTGTTAACATTTGTTAATCAATAGCAGAGTAACCGAAGCATTTAATAAACAAAATAGCCAATTGCTTTCTAATTTGTGACGGATCTTTTCTTCCCACAGAGTGCTCATCCTACACCTAAAACGGTACAGCTTTAACGCTCAGTTGTCTATGAACAGCAAGCTGGGCCAGCAGGTGGTGATTCCCCGACACCTGACCCTGCTGTCCCACTGCACTGAATCCACAAGACCCCCTATTAGTCCCGGCTGGAGTTCCCAAGCCTCCATGTAAGACATCTTAAACACCATCAACTAAAGCATGAATAGTAACTTAAAACACTTCAGATTCTAGGTAGTTACATCTTGAGCTATTGAGTGATTCAGTAGGATTTTAAAGGAATACCTAACCCAAAAATGATCATTGTATGTCAGTTACTCACCCTGTGATACGTTGAATTCATGAAGAATCCAAAAACAGAAAATTCCTGATAAATTGAAGTTGTAGGGGGGCCACGTTTAATGACAGCAAAACTATATTAAAACATCTATTCACAAACTGTCACACAACTAGTGCAGCACAGTCCAAGTCTCATTTATCCAATCTCGTCGCTGTCCGATGAAAAACACGTATCTCCACATTTGACGATTTTGACTTTCTACGCGCTTTGATGGTCACTTCTGATACCCAATGGAGATACGTGTTGAATAGATGACGTAATAGACATCTTTCCATTGGTCATTTGGATAGCCAACGCTAACAGTTGCTAGGGAACATTATGGACACTCCATGCACTGTAGAAAATCAAAATCATCAAAAGTGGAGATACGTGTTTTTCATCGGACAGCAACGCTATGCTCCCTACTTCCCAAACACATGCATTTTTGCTAAAATCTTATTTAACACAGAACTGAAAGTGAACGGATGAAGTATTCCTTTAAGTAAAGGCTTTGCAGCTGAATTATATGCAACAAAATTTGCCCTTTGGCTGAGAGATGATGGCAGATATTAATGTTTCTGAATATTTTTGTTGTTGTTTTCAAAGTTCCAGAACTCTTAAAACGTCACAGTCAGTCAACTCTTCTACAGCACCTCTCCGGTAAGTACAGTTCTGCACGACTTTCAAATAAAGATATCAAACAGTAGAGTTACATTTACACTGGCCACAACTTGACTAAAGCTCTGACTTCCCTAATGTGCTCCAGCCTGGTCTATACTCAGTCTCCTTGATAGAATGTGTGTAGGAGCTCCTTGGTAGTAATAATGCCAAAAATATTGCTTATAAAAATAACTTGTATGTAATCTGTCACAAATTGCATGAATAGGAAACTTACTTGCCTGTAAATTCAGTCACTGAGCTTATGACTGTGTGTGTGTGTGTGTGTGTGTGTGTGTGTGTGTGTGTGTGTGTGTGTAGAAGGATTGGAGGGAAAGCAGCCAACCCTAGCTGTACTTCTATCCTCATGGACTCTGACTGTGAAGAAGAGCCCAGCAGAAAGGTGATTGCAAGCCGCAAGCGACGCTTCAGCAGCTGCCTGCCTGACGATGATGACCGACTGGAAGAGGTAAGCGTTCTCTGATACACCGTGACAATTATGAGTCAGCCAGCTTCTTTTTCTTTTTTTGTCCATTGCTTTGACACTGTCTTTATGCATTTTCAGCGAGGAACACCAATGGATTCAGCAGACTTCAGTGGCATAAATGATGATGAAATGCTGGCAGCCGTGCTGGAGATGAGTCGTCAAGAGGCTGGGCTCTCAGCTCCACCCCCCATGGAGGATGAACCAACCAGCAGCCCCGACACAGGCTTTGGGGACACAGATACCCATGACCTGGCCTATCATACAGATCTGCTGGAAACAGACAGCAAACAGCCCGCAGGTAATCCAACGTCATGAGGTAAAAATGACGAGTAGCTGGGTTTTTTATTTTTCTCTTTAAAATGTAAACACAGTGTATCAGAGGGATTGTATGAATGTAGCATAGTAAAATATATCCCAATGACTTGTACTGCATTGGTCAGTTGTCTTGGTAGTTCACACTGCTTGACATAAATGTGGCTTTCTGCACTGACACAAAAACTCTCTTATGTCCTGGGTAAAGTAATGTCATCATTACACTTAAGCAGGTGGGCATTTAAGAGGAGATAACTTCACTAGTATGTAAGTAGAAAGTTAACTGACTTGTATATGTGTTGATCTTGTGTAGATGTGCTGGATTCCCTGGACTTGACCATGGATGAGAACAAGGAGAACCAGACTCCAGAGAGCGTGCAGCAGCAGGGGGAACTGGACTGGGTGCAGCAGTACAATCTGGACCAGGAGAGGGAAGAGCAGGAGCTACAACAGGCTCTCGCCCAGAGCCTCCAGGAGCATGTAAGTGTGACTTCAGCAGGGCTTACCTTTACATATGGAACAGTGGTGTTACATCTAAATACTATTGTAGAGCCATAAGAAAGTGATAACCTACGCCACATATGCAGACTAAAGAAGCTGTGGTGACGCCCAAATAAAGAAACCACAATTTGCAACCAATCAAAATTTTCCTTTTCCCCTCTCTTAATGAGTAGTGTTGATTGTCTAGGCTGAGCTGGTGTTACACTTGAGTAGTTCTCTATATAGTCTTTAAAATATGGGGAGGTGCCAGTTTGCAAATGCAGTGTTGAAATTTCTTACACTAAATCCCTCTGTAATATCTTGTGTCCACCTCACCTGATATAGGAGGCCCAAGAGATGAGAGAGGATGATGATCTGAAGAGGGCCACTGAGCTCAGTTTACAAGGTATGAACCAAAATTGACAGAATGTTGAGTAGCTGGCTGTTGAAACTAAGGAGCCCAGATAATCACTCATCTTTGCAGGTTTGTTTTTGTCATGGGCGCCACTGGCAGTAGTCACTGGTGGATTTTTGAGTATGTTTAAGTGGTGGTGGAAGCAGTTAGGAAAAAATGCCTGACTGGTTGTTAATATTATTTGTATAATTCAAGGCTGTACCCGACTCAGAATTATGTCAGTGGAATCAAACTTGGCTTTTCAATATAAAGATTTGACTTTATCTCAGAACCTGGCGTGGAAAAGCCTCTCCTCCTCCAGGCATCTGTCACTGTGTCCACAGCTGCCTCTACTGAAGAGCAGCGGGAATGTCAAGAGCACTCACTCTGCAGCTAAATCTGCGGACTAAAACATCCTCAGAAGTACACTGTGCAGACTGAGGAGAAAAAAACAACTACAATAAAAAAAATTAAAAAAAAAAAAACACACCTGCTCGACTTAAGGGAAATTCAGTCGACCGTCTCTGATTGATGATTAGATTCTCTGATTTTCAGTGGGCTGCCTCAGTTATAATTTCAGTGCAATCTCTTCTTATTTTTCATTCTGTCCTTTCCTTTTTACTTAAGCAAAGGACACCAGGCTCATGTCGGTTCAAAGCAAAAGTATACAGTGCCGGTTGCGGCGTATGTCTGTAATGAAGTGCTCTGAGCACTTAAAGAGATACTTTGCCAATTTTCAACCAGCTTTGTATCGTAACAGTGTGGGTAGTATGTGTAAATGAAATATGTCCCTCCATCTGCTGGTGCCTAGATCTCCATGCAAAAAAATCTGCCAAGCATTATCTGGCAGATTTCCGCTTGCTCAAGAGCAAGCCTAATGCAGAAGTACAATGTACTTCAGAAGTACAATGTACTTCTGCATTAGGACAAAAAGTACTTCTGCATTAGGACAAAAAGGGTATAGAAGTACATTGAGAGAGTTGCTTGCATTACGTCACCCACCAGCCAGAGCGTTTATTGGTCCAGTGTGGTGCAGTGCATTATGGTAGTTGTAGGTTTTCTAGCACAAATTTCAAGACCATCTTTCCAGCATTGAAATACTTCTTTAATGACACTATTTACTTCGACTCTGCTGTGAAAAAATGTCTGACCAGTATCAACATCTCCTTCTCACCCAACAGAGTTTAACAACTCTCTGCCTGAGCTGCTGTGCTCAGATGATGATTCTGGCAACGAGGATGTGTTGGACATGGAATACACTGAAGCAGAAGCAGAGAGCCTGAAGAAGAATGCTGAGGTACTTCACATCATGCTGCCACTCAGCATTTGCCTTGTTAAGTGGAATAGGCTAGATAATGGGTAAAATACTAGTTTATTTCCACAATAAACTGAAAAGCAACTTTCATACTACAAACACAAATTAAAAATGGAGAAAGAGGTAAAATTGGTAGTCTGACCAACATTTCTAGCTGCACTACTAATATATAGTATTTACTGGATACACTGACTGAATTGCTTTCATTTATAGTAACCTGCGTATAAACATTCTAATCCACAGAGTGGAGACCTGCCCAACTCCTTCAGACTCATCAGTGTCGTCAGTCACATTGGGAGCAGCTCCTCCTCTGGTGAGCACTTGTGTCTATTTGAGCTTCTGTCTGTTGTGTAGATATATGTTGTGTGAACATTTATGCAAACTGCATAGGAGTTGTTTTACAGCTACCCTTTTACAAAGGAGCAAGTGAATACCATTAGAGGTGTCTGACTGAATGTTGGCACCTAAACCTGCCCAGCGCAGTTCCAAGCTTTTAGTGCTTCTGTTAAGAATGGTAATATGCTTATATTTACATTAGAGTTGCATGATATACAGGTAGCCCTTTGCAACTGCTGGTTTAAAGTTCACATTTTAAGAGGAAGTGGGGGGGCTTTTATTGTGAAAGTAACAGGACATGTAAATGTTGTTGCACCAGCAGTGTGTTGTTAACATGGCCTGTCGCCAATAAAAGAGCTGTTGAGATAAGCGGTAAACATTTTTTGCATGAGTTGGCAGTACAAAGTTGATTTGATTTTAATGTCTGGTCTTAATGATGGTTGCATAATGTTGTAATACAGTGACTTACTGTACAACCCGATATTTACACTTTGGTACACAGCTGCACAGCACTTAGCATGCTACTAAAATTGGTTGTCCCTGTCTGCAGTTGATTGTCTAAAAACTTTATACATATTTCATTCTAGGCCATTACATCAGTGACGTGTACGACATGAAGAAGCAGTCATGGCTGACCTACAATGATCTGGATGTGTCGCGCACACAGGAAGCAGCCGTCCAGCGAGACCGTGACCGCAGTGGATACATCTTCTTCTACATGCACAAGTAGGATAGCAGAATAACCAGAGGGGTGTCTGATGTCTGTGTAGCTTTTGTGCCCATAATGAAACTGCAGGATATTTTGCAGTTTCAGTGAGTTGCAGGATTTATAGCACAGCAAACACAAGACCAGGGGTAGGCAACCTGTGGCTCTGGAGCCGTATGACGCTCTTTAGCCCCTCTCCAGCGGCTCTCTGTGGCTTTGACAAAAGAAATCACATGAAAATTAACAACTTTTTATTTATTATTGTTGCAGGCTTAAACAAATGATTGCATTCTCCAGTTGTAAAAATGTGTAGCCTATGCACTGAATAAAAAAAAAAAGAAGAAGTTTTAACAATTAGACAACTAAAATGCCCATCATACATCTACGACCTGGCACCTTTTCCTCTAAATCTTGCCAAACCCGTCTAGTCTTGAGCCTCCCTAGACAGGCTAGTTAAGGTTGTTGACCCCTGCACTAGATGGTAATAAACAACATGCATGCTGGACTAAGTTTTGTAGTTTGTGCGTGTTCATGTTAAAGGGCATTACATGAGTTGGCTGTAAGATGCTTATACACGTGTGTCCACAGGGATGTGTTTGAGCAGCTGTCTGAAATGGAGAGATCTGGAGCCAGCACCACTTCTGAGGCAGGAAGGAACGTCCTGCAGCCCCTCTGAGTGCATCCACATCCACATGAGCATATCCACGGTTGAACTCTAGTAGATGGAGCTCTCTTCTGAACAACCTCGAGAACTACTGATTGCCGTCCTTCTTTGGTCGTCTTCAGGCACTTCTTTTCCTCTACAGAGCACTAAACGCCCTGCTAAAATAGCACCTGTAAATGCCAACACAGGTGCTGAACTGTCAAGACTCTTTTAAGATACCAGAAATGCAGTTAAAAATGTTCAGTGGATCAAATTTTGCCTCCATGTGTTTTGGGGCTGGAGTTTTTCTTTGCTATGATTTTTATCAAACAACTGTTTTTGTAAAGTTTTTTTCTTTGTTTCTTGATGATCTTTCAACTTAAATGCCATTCATTCAGACTTTCACTTAAGATCAACTATCAAACACCAGATACTAGTGGTGCTTCATGGATTGTATGTTTTGCAGACCCTTTATTTCCCCATATGAACTAAATAAAGATATATTCTATGTTGGAGTATAAGCTATTATAGAGTTAGAGGGGTGTTGTATTTAGCGGGTACATTTGGTGCAATATTTATGTTGTGGCACAAACTGGCCAATTCAAATCAGCTTTCTGTCACTGTGTGGATGTTTTCCAGTTGCTTTTTGTGCTTGACTTAAGAACTAATTTGTGTGTGTGTGGTTGTCTCCATATTATAGATTTAAAAAATAATCTTAATAACAAAGCCTGTTCATACTGAGCTTTTCTCAGTAAAGCCTACTTTCTTCTTTTGGGATTCTGACTTTGTGCCTCCCAAGAAAACTTTTTATAAATATGTATACAAGCTTTACTTTCAAAGTTGCACAACCTTGTTGTTTTTGAATGTTTGTCAAACCTCAACAGTGTGTTTAAGTCAGATTTTCCTTTATAAAAAGCCAACAGATTTTCTATTTATTGCAACATTGGGTTGATTAACGTTAATTAACCCATCATGATACGCCACGGCAAATAGAAGTAATTTATACTAGACCACCAGGGAAGCTAGCTATAAACTCACCATCTAAGGCCAGTATACAGTACTTGACACATTAGACCTTTCCTAAACCTGTTCAGCTAGGTCCTATCAGGCGTGTTTGCTTGTAGAGTCGAACAGATCGAAGTATTTTGTTATTCCTGTACTGTTCCAATGCTAGACATCGGTTGTACGGCTTGTTTTTTTTTTTTTGGTTACCACTGTAAAAATGAAATCACACTTCTGTACACCAATGGTCATGCACAACATGCAAATGTGTCTGCAGGACATTTTCAGACCACATCAAATGATTTCCTCAACTCCCCTAACAAGAGAAGAAAATCTGAATAATAAAGCATTATAAAACATGGGTCATAATAATAGGTATGATATTCTTGATACACCATATATAGCCATATTTATAGTTGGATTTTAAGGTGTGCATTATTATTAGCTGACTCCTTGAAGTACAGTATTCTGTTGCACCATGAACATAGACCTGGTTGTGACAGCAGGCAGAAGTTGCTCACACATTGGTTCTTTTTCATGTCAGCCTTGAATTAACATTTCTTGAACATCCTGTCCCAAATGCAGCGTAAAGAGAGTAAAATGTATTTGTGAAGTAAAGATGAACAGCTTTTTCTACCCTTCATACACAACTGACTCTTCCTAAAGCAGATTTTAATAAAATATTACAGTGAAAGTGCTTTTTTGAGAGACTTTTTAATTTGATGTTTAAAACTTTAACACACACATCCAGTATTTGGAAATGGTGTCCACAATCACATCACTGTATGTCCTCTGCCAGTCCTTAAAAAAGTTGCTGCAGATTGTGATAGTGGAAAAGACAGCATGCCAGTGAATAAAACAGTAGTCCACCTGTTTACAGGATAGTGAATAATATCAAGCACCATAGTGCACTGAGTGCAATTATAACGTTAGTAGTAGGTGATGGTCACTGTCACCTATCCTGACTGCATCTCTTCATCAGTGGCTCCAGATGTCTTCCTGTGAGTCTGTTGTACTCACTCAGGATGTAGCTCTCCCTCTGCAGCATCTGGAAACAAAACATTTTTAAATATATTACCCCCTCTTGTGCCTAACAGTGTGACAGAACATTTAGATTTAAATCAGTTCATCATTCACAAAGTATTAAGTTGTTAAAATTCACTTTGCGTTGCAGCCAAACAGCATACAAACAAGTTATCAAATCATGCAAATCTATAATAATTATATGAACACAGTTTACCATTTAAACTTGTGGTGCCATTTCAGTGCTTATGAGATGGAACCTGATTAAACAGTGCATTTAGCAGGAAAAAAAGCTGAAAAATAAGACACCTTCAGCTAGTTTTCACCCCTTTTCAGTTAAAGGGCCAGATCACTTAAAGGTTCTTTGTGTGACTTTCAGAGCACTAATAAAGCACCAAACCACTACTGGCTTTGTAAAGATAAAGTGGCGTAACAGCGTCCTGAGCAGAAAATGAAGCCACACTACCCCTGTGTGTGTTGTAATCCGAGCTCATCACTGTTGCTATGCACTGCACTCATACTGTGGTTAACGCTGATATCGTGACAGGGTCATTGTTGAAACATAGTGCCCACCCTCCGGTTCCCCCTGCTTAACACAGTTAGCTCTGTCAGCACTGTTGATGTTGTTTAATGCTGTTTAAGGAGTTAGCACTGTTAGCTGCTAGTGTGGTAAAATAAATTCCATTCACCTCAATTGTATTGGGTTGGAAGCAGAAATCTCTCTTACAAATACAGTATCTCACATAAGTGAGTACACCCCTCCCATTTTTGGAAATATTTCATTATATCTTTTCATGAGACAACACTATAGAAATGACACTTTGATATAACTTAAAGTAGTCAGTGTACAGCTTGTATAGTAGTATAGATTTACCTTCCTCTGAAAATTACTCAAAACACAGCCATCAACATGTAAACAGCTGGCAACATAAGTGAGTACACCCCACAGTGAACATGTCCAAATTGTGCCTAAAGTGTCAATATTTTGTGTGCCATTCATTATTATCTAGCACTGCCTTAACCCTTTTGGGCATGGAATTCACCAGAGCTCACAGGTTGCTTCAGGAATCCTCTCCCACTCCTCCATGATGACATCATGGAGCAGATGGATGTGAAGACACCTTGAGCTCCTCCACCTTCAGCTTGAGGATGGCCCACAGGTGCACAGGTGAGTTTAGGGCTGGATACATACTTGGCCAGTCCATCACCTTCACCTTCAGCTTCCTCAGCAAGGCAGTTGTCATCTACTAGGTGTGTTTTGGGTCATTATCATGTTGGAAATCTGCATTGCGGCTCAGTTTCCAAAGAGGGGCGATCATGCTCTGCTTGGAATTCATGTTTCCCTAAATGAATCGAGCTCCCCAGAGCCGGCAGCACTCATGCAGCCCCAAACCATGATGCTGCCACCACTATACTTGACTGTAAGCAAGGAACAGTTGTCTTGGTGCTTTTTCAGCATGTGTGGCACCTTGGTGAAGAGCACCAAGACAACTGTCCCTTGCCTACAGTCAAGTATAGTGGTGGCAGCATCATGGTTTGGGGCTGCATGAGTGCTGCTGGCTCTGGGGAGCTCGGTTCATTTAGGGAAACATGAATTCAGAGCAGAGTATGATCGCCCCTCTTCAGAAACTGGGCTGCAAGTTTTCCAACATGATAATGACCCAAAACACACCTAGTAGATGACAGCTGCCTTGCTGAGGAAGCTGAAGGTGAAGGTGATGGACTGGCCAAGTATGTATCCAGCCCTAAACTCACCTGTGCACCTGTGGGCCATCCTCAAGCTGAAGGTGGAGGAGCTCAAGGTGTCTTCACATCCATCTGCTCCATGATGTCATCATGGAGGAGTGGGAGAGGATTCCTGAAGCAACCTGTGAGCTCTGGTGAATTCCATGCCCAAAAGGGTTAAGGCAGTGCTAGATAATAATGACTGGCACACAAAATATTGACACTTTAGGCACAATTTGGACATGTTCACTGTGGGGTGTACTCACTTATGTTGCCAGCTGTTTACATGTTGATGGCTGTGTTTTGAGTAATTTTCAGAGGAAGGTAAATCTATACTACTATACAAGCTGTACACTGACTACTTTAAGTTATATCAAAGTGTCATTTCTATAGTGTTGTCCCATGAAAAGATATAATAAAATATTTCCAAAATTGGGAGGGGTGTACTCACTTATGTGGACACACTGAACCAAAACTATCTACATGGCTAAGTAACATACACTAGGAGTTAAGAAATTTGGTTTAAGTGATTCTTTAAATATGTTTTGCGTGTTAAGATTCTTTCATCATGAAATCTTAATGCAAACCTCTGTCCATTCTTCTTCTGTCTCATGTCTGTAGCCCAATAGGTGACAGATTCCATGTGCAGTGACGACCTAAGACATGATGCAAAAGAGAAGTTACAGCAAACATAGACAGGATGGTCGACATCACATTTTAAGAACTGAATTACTGTATGAGATGCAGAGGAAAGCAAGTTTTATTGGAAAAAGATAATCAATTATTAAATGTAATGATGCAGCTACTCACAGTGAGGGTTGCATGCAGATCTAGGGATTCCTCCCTGCACTGCTGCATCACAAACTCAACCCCCAAGAAAATGTCCCCAAGGTTCAGCTCATCCCTGTGAAGGGGGCAAGGCAGTTTACCAGGTCTCAGATCCTGAAAACAGGTGGAAGCACCATTTGAATTGTAATCTTTTCAAAAAGTCCAGAAAATAGCCAACAGAGAATTAGTGGTCAACCCTGCCCCTCCCACCAGATTCTAGTTGGGCTCACTGTCCTATTAAAGGGAAGACATTGGGGGTGTAGGAAAAAAATTGTATAGCATGTTATCACGATACTTTTGTGAGACAATATCACATCATTAAACGGACACCAACTATTCTTTTTTTTATTATATAAACTATTAATATTGCAAATACAAATTCAATTTTTGGTAGCCCACTAGAATAATAAAATTGTTTTTTCAATCGACTAGATACATATTTTTTAACAAACTGAAAATGTTGCCTTAGTCTTACTAGGGACTGTTCATTACCTATGAAAGGGGAATGGGTTGGTGCAAAAAGTGGGAGGCATAACAAATATTTTTCTTTTAGCACTGGGGAGAAGGTTATGTTTTTGTTTTTTGTTTTTTTTGGCTTACAACTTTAATGTCTGTATTTTTTATTTATTTTACTGTGGATTTTAAAAGAAAACATACTGATTAAAAAATGCCTTGAAGGCATGTTTTCTTTAAAAGTCACTAAAATGACACCATTTACTGTAGTGAGAAATTGTAAAAGAAGAAATTATCATTGAAAAAGGTAATCAATCGCAATATAAGCCCATAACAGCAGATTTTATACAATATTCAGTATATTTAATCACGTCTAAAATCTCAGTAATTTTGTATCGTGACTTAGGTATCGTGGTATTATCGTATCGCGAGGCCTCTGGTGATTCCTACCCCGAAAAAAACACATGTAGCCCTGTTGACACTTCATGGGAGCAGGTGGCAGACAATTCATAGATTAACTATCATATGTTATAATGTAGTCGTATTTACCTCGTAGAATGGAAATGACAGGACGTCCGTGGGCACATTTTTCTTTCTGTACGTGTGATTTATTTGCTGGATCCTGTGGTTATCCACGCAAACGATGCCCAAGTCAAATTTATGGATGCCCAGTATGTGCCTCAGTGTGTCAACATCCTTGCGCAGCCTGGCGCGGCGAAGAGGCACCACCTTTTGGAGATTCCGCAGTACTACTCCCATTTTATACTTCAGCGTAAAATGACAAAACTGTTATTTAAAAACTCCATAAACATATGAAAGCGTTAAAACTAACCCACTTTCCACTCTGACTCTGTGGCGGTGAGTCTACGAGGACTGTCGGTCAGCTTTGCGTTAGCTGCGAGCGTTGTTCAGTCATTCCGGGCAGGCAGAATTCAAGGTGACACGTCTCCAGCAGTAGCAACATGTAATTCCTCGAAAATTATCTTTTAGGCTTTCTCTGTATTGTGCGGATATTAAAATATAGTTGAGGGAAAATGACAATATTCTGTCGTTAGCAAAAGTGGTCCCTCGCCCATTCAAAACCCATTCGAGCAATGGAACGGTCGTAACGTTGGCAGCAGCGGAAAGGGGTTTCGCTGTGAGCGGGGAACTAAAGATTTGTGGGACCGGAAGCGGATATGGAAAAATGTGTATGAACTAAACCAAAAAGTCAACATAGCAAACTCGAACTGTGTACGGTGAGATTTTTTATTCGTATGAAAGTCGAACAGTTTTGCAGTATTGCGTCGTGGGGGTTTTTACATGTCAAAATAACAATTGTAAGGGTAGTGGAACAAACGCTAAGCTAACGTTACAATGTTTGTGGTGTTAGCTAGCTAGTGCTAACGGCCGAGCCATCCTGTCTTCATAGTGTTGACTTTTACGTGGTAGGGTGTTTACAGCGAAAACCTTGAGAGACAGGATCAGTGATGCATATTTCTGTCGCTTGAATGACTGCACAAGAAAGAGTTCTTTCAACAAAATACCAAGGATACTAAACTTCTGCTGATATTTGCGCCATGAATCCATCCAATCCGTTTGGCAGCCCACAAGGTGGAGCTTTTCAAGCCCCAAGCAACACTTTGAAGAGTGGTTTGTTCCAGTCATTTGGGCAGCAAAGTTCTACCAATCAGCCCCAAGCAATGGGCTTTTTTCCACCATCAGCGTTTGGACAGCCATCCGTCTTAAATCAGCCCACACCTCATGGAAATACCGTTTTTGGACAAGCCCCTGCCTTTGGGCAGTCATCTAACGTTACACAGGCTCCTTCGCTACCTGCAATAAGCCAAGCTCCAGCATTTGGACAGCAACCATTAGGAATGAGTAGCTCAGGCTTTGGCAGTAGCAGTAGCACAGCACCAGCCTTTGGACAGACTAGTGGACCAAACCAGAGTTCAGTCTTTGGCCAGACACCTTCATTCGGGCAGCCGTCTGCATTTGGGCAGGCTCCGGGATTCAACCAACAGGCCACAGGACGTGTCCAGCAGTCCTCTGGGTTTGGAAACCCTCAGATGACTTCTGGCTCTACCGCTGCCTTAGGGCAACCTCAGCCGCTAAGTTTTGGGCAGTCTGTGTTTGGACAACCATCATCCACCAGTGTCACCACCAGTGTATTTGGTGCAGCTCAGAGTGCAACCCAGAGCAGAGGCTTTGGATCATCGAAATTCAGTTTCAAGCCTGCCAATGAGGCACTGTTCAAACCCATCTTTAGTGCGAGCCCCGAGCCCACAAACCCTCAAACTACTTCAATGTCCAGCTCACCTTTTGGCACTAGTGGGTCCCAGACAAGCTCCAGCACCACAAATAGCAGCAGCACCACCACAACAAGTGGCTTCTCTCTGTTGACTGGGGCTAAGTCTGGGCAGCTGGGCTTCAGCTTCTCACAGCCGGCTGCAGCCCCCTCTGTCTCTGCTCAAAATAATCCATTAACAACTAGCAATAGCAGCGCTCCTTCCAACACGCTGCAGTTCACCTTTTCCCAGCCAGCCGCCCCCTCAAGCTCCAGCACTAAGGCACCTACCACCCAGCCCACCACCCCATCGTCTTTCAGCTTTTCAGCTCAAGCCCTCCAGACCCAGGCAGCACCCCTTTTTGGAGGAACAAATTTTGGTCAGCCCCCAGCTTTTGGTGACACCAAAGCTAAAGCAGACACAAGTACAGAGGACAAAGGGAGCAACCTTGAGAGCCCAGGAGACACAAATGTATTTGCACGACTTGGCAAAGGCACCAAGCGCAAGGAAGATCCAGCAGCTCCCAGCACTGGCCTAGAGAAGTCTGCCACAGGAGAGGAAGAGGAAGATGTTACAGCAGAAGCAGATTCACCAAGACACCCTTCAAAGAGGCCCCTAATGCGGTCCCGCGGCCCACCAGCAGGCTTATTTGGTAGGGCATTAAGTGCTCTTCGTAGAGATGGCCCAAAGCCAGTTAGACGAGAGGCCACAAAGGAGACTCAGCAGCAAGAATTGAAGTGGGAGGAGACAGAGAGAGAAGAAGAAGTCCAAGCTCAGGGGGATGACCTACCTACTGCACAACCCACAGCACAAGGACTGACCAAGGATGTGCTGGAAAAAGCTGAAGAATCAGGTGAGACATAAAATATAGATACTGTGTGCTACCTGCATTATAAAACCAGTTTAAAGACACTGCATGGTAAAAGAATGCATCTTACTTGCCTGAATATAGTATACAATAGCTTTTGGTTCTGAGGAAGCTCAGAAATTTTCATCCTGCTGAATTTCAAATACATATCTAATTAAATAAAGGTGCAGTTTGTAGGATTTAGAGGCATCTATTGGCACAAGTTTTATATAATATTCATAACTATGTTTTCATTAGTTTATAATCACCTGAAAACCTAAGAAAAAGTTGTTTTGTTACCTTAGAATGAGCTGTTTATATTTATGAAGCATGTCCTCCACCACAGAGTCCGCCATGCTGTTCTAAAGTAGCCCAGAAAGAACAAATCAAACACTGGCTCTTGGTTGAACCATTCATCTTTTTGGCAATAGCTACAATAGTTCTGTTACATGTTTGGCAGACAGGAGAAGTCTCAGTTCTACAGCCTCCTCACTAGATGCAACTAATTCCTACACACTGGACCTTTTAAAAGAGTGGATTACATTATTAGAATATACTCATCCTGTTGTCTGCCTATTACCCATCAACCCTCTCTAGACCCAGCAAAAGCCCCAGACCCAAATCTAACCAACACAACCCCTGTGAGACGCAGTGTACGCAGCGAGAGCTTAGAGAGCCTGAGTGGCATGTCTCCCACCGATTGCACCACCATCATGTGCAGGAATGTGCCTCCAAACCTCAACAAGAAGGACATAATCGAGAAGCACTTTAATCGTTTTGGCAAAGTCCGTAAGGTTTTCTGCCGGCCTGCCAAGAACCTGGCTATAATACATTTTGATGACCACGTGAGTTGATGCAATTTATCCCCATTAAAGCATATTTACCATGCTCTGGCTATTTTGAGTTTGCTGACCTCATCAGAACTGGTAGTTAATAATTACTGCCCTCCCAGTCTGGTCCTCAGATTGCTTTGTTATTGCAGCCCACTTAATATGCTGCTGTAAGTTTTATTCATAATTCATAGTGTCAACTACCTGCTATATCCTGTTTTATATGACCAGGGTGAAGCACTGATTTTACTGCTAGTTGTTTGGATTTGTTATTCTCTTTATTATTCCTTGCAGTTTTAGTCAGTGGCATCAATCCGATTTTAAATAAGCTTGGTTTAGTCACTTATCCTGCTGAGTTAGTCAGGCCAAAGATGATGATGTGTATTTATTTTTCAATGAAATCACAATCTTATTTCACTTTCTGTCTTTGTAATCTCTTTCAGGCATCAGCGGCAAAGGCAAAGAAGAAAGGCAAAGTCCTGCATAGACAGGAACTCCTTCTCTTGTGGCAGAGAAAGAAGCAGAGTAAATACAGTATATTATCATTAAAGTTTATTTAATGTAGAAATGATTGCTAGCACCCAGCATTCACAGTTCTGCTCTATTGATATTACTGTGTAGAGATTCAGACCCTCACTCAAAAGTAAATGTAAATCAGATCTTTGTTATATACTTAGGTAGAGTCCTGAGTCGTTTATTTCATATTACCTTTAATTCCTTGCAGTGAGTCACTGTGTTGCTTTTTGTGCTTTAGGTCCAGGGGACAAAGGGAGCAGACCTGCTGCAGGGAAGGAGGAGGCAAAGGGAGAAAGTCAGGAAGACACAGAGTCCAAGGCTGCCTCCTCCCCACTCAGAAGACCTGCAGTCAGCAGCACAATGACCTTTAGCCGCAGGTAACACCTGCACCTGTATGAAATTGTTTGTTATTGTAACGACAAAAATACTTAAAGCAGCATCGAACTGCGGCTCGCTATGATAATTGCATTCACATGAAGCATGTTCTTGTTTTTCAGGCAGAAAGAAATTCTTCACATGAGTCACAGAACTCTGTTTATTGATTGGCTGTAGGTTTTCTTTGGCTGTAGTTCACCACTAAACTGTCCCAAATTTTTAGTTTGGCCACACTTCACTGTGGAATCAAACGGCCGCAACTCAGAGCAGCCGCCACAACTTTCCATAGACATTGCATGGCAGGTTGCCACAGGCTTGACTTTGCTGCTGATTTAATGTTAGCTAAAATGCCTTCATGTAACAGGCCTGGACCAATGAACACCCTAAAAATAGTCTTTTAAAGTTAACTGCTGTGCTGTGACTGTCTTTCACATGTCTTTCCATGTCTCAGTTCTCCAGTGAAGAAGTCGTCATCAGCCAAGTCTCTGCAGTTTGATACTGAACCCCAGAGAGAGAGTAGCACAGAGGCTCAGAGCTCTGAGCGCCCAGTCCCTTCCTCCCTCCTCCACCTCATTGGCCAGCTAGCTGAGACAGCTGAGGACAAGTATCGCTTCCTGGAACAGAGAGACAAAATCCTGCGTCAAGGTTTAGCCACCTTTCACACCAAGCTATTGCAGCCATTAACACGCTAAAAACATGAGAGACATTTTAACTGAGAGCGTAATATTTCCACACAGGTCGGCCCAAGAGAACCGACCTGGACCTGTCAAAGGTGTTTGTGGGGATGTGTCCTGACATGTGCCCAGAGAAGGAGAGGTACATGAGAGAAACACGGAAACAGCTGAGCATGTTCGAGGTCATCCCAGATACAGAGATGGTAATGTCCTTAATGCTTCTGTTCCACATTCAGATTCAAGAATATAGGGCTTTTTTCAGTTGATGCAGTATGTTGACAGATTTTGTCTCCGGTTTACTGAGGTTTCTTTCACTTTTTAATTTAATCTGTGAGCTGTTACAGCGTAGGTCTGTTGCTATTCTCCCTATCAATTTAGGAATGCAAAGTAAAAAGGGACCAAAATAAAGCTTGCAGGTACATTAAGGACATGAGGGACACTGTGAACATGAATTGAGACTGTCAACTCCTCTCCCCGACTAGGTGGATCACTCAGCAGCCATCAAGGAGTACAGCCGCTCATCAGCTGACCAGGAAGAGCCCTTGCCCCATGAGTTGCGCCCCCTGCCTGTACTCAGCATGACCTTGGACTATCTGGTGACTCAGATCATGGACCTGGGCCATGA